TTTATTGAGCTCTTACTGTGTGCTAGGCACTGCGTATTTCTCGCGGAGTTTTTAAGTCAGTTCTGTGAGATGAGTCTCCATTTCGCAGGCCAGGCGCTGGCTCAGAGACGCTACGTGACGAGCCAGGGTCACACAGATGGAAAGCAGTGGAACGCACTGATGGGGTCTCAGGGCGAGTCCTGCTCAGGGGCCTTTCTGCAGGCGGAGGCCGAGCCCACCCAGGGAGAGGCTGTCCTGCCGCCTGCCCTCCAGCCAGCCCCCCAGCCAGGAACACCACTGAGGGACACTGCTCTGTAGGGCCCTGGGTCGTGGGCCAGTCTGGGTGTGACCCAGAGGCTTAGTGGGCTCCTGCCTCTCGGGGAGAGGGGCCCCCGACCTCGTGCCTGTTCCCTGCTCCTGCCCCCCGCCCCGGCCGCAGAAGCAGGAACGCTCCAGCACAGGCCTGCGGCCCCGTGAATCAGCGCGGCTCACTCTGGGAGCCTGCGGGCCTCCGGGCTGTTTTCAGTTTCCTGGGAGTCTCACTCTGACTCAGCACCGCCTGGTGGCCCCGGTGGCCCCAGTGACCCGGGCCTCTGAGCAGCTGCTGAGCTGAGCGCTCTTCCCTTTGGGACCTGAGCGTGGTTTGAGGCTCCATGTGGCCCCATCTGTGTGGTGGGGGTAGTGGATGCAGGGGCTGCATGTGCCGGGGGTGCTGCAGGTTGGGGAGCCTCAGTGGGAGGCCCACGCCCTGTACCCCAGATCCTGTTTCTGGGTGCTTCGGTTCTTCTTGGAGCCTGGCGAGTGAGTGGCAGCCACCCGTGCTTACATCTCCTGTTGCTGAGGCCAGGGTGGGGGCCCGAGCGCCCTGCAGTGTCGTCCTGTTCCGGCTCAGGGCCCGAGGCTGGGTGTCCGAGGTGCCGGGCACCTTGACTGATGTCTCAGAGGGTTGGCGGCTGGGCTTGCATCCCTGGGGAGTCAGGCTGGCGAACCCCATTTCACACAGAGTAGTCCCCAGCTTCACCCCCATTTTACAGATGGGGAACCGAGGCTTGAAAGCGAGGAGACTTACTCAGGCTTTACAAAATGGCAGAGCTGGGGTTTGAGCCTGAGCCGACCTGATTTTAGCGACCCTGATTATTTATTTTATGTCCATTTCATAGTGGAGGAAATAGCGTGGAGCTGAGCAACAGGTTTGGGGTCGCCTAACTAGACCCCCGTGCAGGTGGGATCGGAGCCCGGTCTCAGCTGAGACCCTGGGCTGCTGGGCTGCAGTGTCCCCATCTGCACAGTGGGCACCGCCTGTAGGATGGTTCGTCCTGCACACAGGTTGCGGGTGCTGGGGCGTGTCTGCAGCCTGCCCTGGGTCAGGGGCTTGTGTTGGGTGGGGGGAGTTCCGGGGAGGGTGGAGCCTGAGGATGGGGAGTATGCAGGAGAAGGCTGTGGGGTGAGGAGGAGGAAGGGACTGCGGGGGTCCTGATCCCTCTCAAGACCAGGTCAGCGGGAACCACGCCTCTCCCCTCCCACCCGGGTTACCAGACTCGCCCTGACTGTCCCCTGGGCCCTGGTGACAAATCTCTTTCACTATCTCTTGACCCAGATAATTAATTGCTTCTGGCAATCGATGGTTCTACAGCACCTCTGCTGTCCCAGGCGTCCCCTGGCCCACCCTGCAGCCGCTAATGGCCCAGACCCCGCTCCTGGGCGGGGAAGAGGCTGCAGTGGTTTTTCTCTCTGTGGCCACCAGGATCCAGTGCCAAGCAGCCTCTTCCTAGGGGACTGAGCAGCTAACATTTGGGGCACTTGCCTTCTGCTCCTACGTGCAGAACCTGAATTGTCTTTACAGGGAGCCTACGAAGGGGCCACTGATGGGCATCTATACAGGCTTCTGGAAGTTTCCACCCCATCTATCCCCAGTGTGCCCTTCCCAGAGAGCCCGCTCTCGGGCTCCTGCCCCGCTGGGTGTTCGCAGTTGGGGTGTCTGGCAGAGGTAGGGTGCAGTTAACAGCCGACGCCCTAGGTGCACATGTCTGCGGGGGACCCAGACCTCTCTGCCTCGTTGCCCCGTCTGCGCAGTGAGGGGGGCCCGTCAGTCGGTGTGATGGGCTTAGCCCTGTGCCTGGCACCGTGAAACCCTAGGAGGGGAGGGGGAGATCCAGGACCCCGCGGGCTGTCGGTGCTGGTGGCGGACAGACAGGTGGGAGGACAGATGGCTTCTCCGTGCCGCCGCCTGGGAGTGAAGCCCCCCCAGCCCTCGCGCCTGCCGGCCTTGGCCTGTGCTTGGCCGGGAGCCCGGCCGCCGCCGCGGCCCCGCTTCCTCCAGAAGCGGTCGATAGCCGGCTCCTTCCTGGCGTCTGATTGCCCCTGTCGGCCGCCGTGTCTGCAGGCGGCCCCACACCCCGTAGCCAGGAGAAGGGTGGCAGGTTTCTGAGAAGCTTGTCCTCGGCCGAATTGGGGATGTAGGGGCTGGAAGACGCCCTGGTCCCCACCTCTCCACCCCGCCCCACCTCGCCCCCCGCTGGCCGTGTGATCTGGGATAGGCTGCCGGACCTCCCTGGGGCCTGTTTCCTCCTCTGCGACATAGCTGCAGGACAGTGCCACCTGGCAGGGCTGTGGCGAGCTCTGGCAGTGAGTGCTGTGTGGAGGGGCTGTCACTGTTGCCATGGCCGTGGAGGTTTCGCCTAGGTTCAGCGCAGGCCTCTCTCAGGACTTGGGCTGGAGGTGCATGTGGGCGGGGTCAGGGATGATCTTCAGTTCTCCCCCGACTGTGTGCCCCTCCCCCGACCCTGGGCTCCCTGTGAGAGGGACTGTGTCCCCTCCACTGGGTGGGCTGGCCCCTCTCTTGGTCCACAGCCCCCTGATCCCCCGTCCTGCTCCAGGCCCCGTCTCCTCACAAGCACACCACCCCGCTGCCCCGCCTCCCCGCCACCCCATCACCCCGCCGCCCCACCTCCCCATCGCCCCGCCTCCCCATCACCCCACTGCCCCGCCGTTGCTGGCGGGAAGTGGAGACTTAAGTGAACCTGCCTCTCTGGCAGCTTCAAGCTTGAAGGAGAGCCCGTGCGGGGCCGGCACGCCTCCGCGGTCCCTCAAGAAGGACAATAAAATACCCCAGTGCTTCCTAAATGGAAGGGCTGCAGAGCCCGCCTCCCTCTCGCTCTGGCTGTTTGGGCTGCTCCTACCACAGTGACAGGAATGGGTGTCCCCTGGCCCCCGGGGACAAAGAGGGTCCCCTGTTCGCCTGTTGTGAAAAGTTGTGCCAGGTGGGCCCAGGAGGCTGTGAGAGCGGTGCTGGGTTCTTGCCGCCCCACCACCAACGCCCGAAGTCCCCCAGTCCAACCTGCGGGTACCGCTTCCGGAGTCATGCCTGTCCCTTGGGGGCCGACGCCTGCATCTGCAGGGTCCAGTTTAGGCTTTTGCAGAGCATATCCTGTGGCTTGCTCACTTTGGCCTAGCAGGGTTCACACCACCGGTTGTGGCAGCCACATGTTGGCTCACGTGGGCGTCACTTCCCTTTCTGCAAAGCGGCAGGCAGGCATCTCATCAGGCCCCTGGGCCCTGGGTGACTGTAGAACCTGACCTGACCCCACTGAGAGTTCGAGACAGGAAGGCGGGGGCTGCAGGAGGTCCGTGCAAGACAGAAGTGTCTGCATGCGCAGGCCTTGGGGATGGCCGTGGGGAGCAGGCCCATTTTCTGGATAGGAAGACCAAGCTCGGAGAAAACCGGGGGCCTTGCCCACGGTGCCAGCTGTAGTGGAAGAGCTGGGACCTCAGCCAGGTTTTTGGGCTCTGCCCACCGTACTGTTTTTTAACTTGTTCTTTGTCATGCGGATGCTAACACAGTAAAGTTTGCGGAAAACACAAGGCTGCAGATTAATGAATCATTATAAAGGAGACACTGTAGCCACCTGCCGTCTCCTCCCCCGGGGCGATCGATAACTTTTCTGGCAATGCTCTAGCCCTGGGATCCCAGTGTGTGTGGCCTGGAGTCTGGCTTCTGTGCTCAGCTCAAGCCTGACCTTCCTCCCCGTGGTTGGGCGCATCCGGTTTGTTCTGTGTCATTGCGGGGCGCGCTCCGCGGTGTGAATATGCCACCGTTGGTTTATCCCCCATCTGGTGACGGATCGATGTCGTTTCCAGCTTTATTGCGACTATGAGTAAAGCCGCCATGAGCATTCACGTGTGACTTCACGTCTACTTTGTGTGGACGTGTGTTTTCATTTTTCCCGGGTAAACAGACACCCGGGAGTGGAAATGCTGGGTCATATGGTCGAGCACCGAAGTGTATGTTTCACTTGATAAGAAATAGCCGAAATGTTTCCCAGAGCAGCTGCCCTTGGGGGGTCGCGTGCCGTTGGTCTTTGTTCTTGCCGACACTTGGTTTTGTCTGCCTTTTATTTCGGCCCCGCACCCACGTGGCGGTGCCGCGGCCCCTCGGGGTTTTAATCGGCACGTGCCTGATGGCTAATGACATTGAGCATATTTTCGCGTGCTCGTTGGCCGTCCGTGCGTCCCCTTTTGTGACGCGTTCCCGAGTCTGTCCCCCGTTTTCTGTCGACGTGACTGGCTCTCATTTTCTGTCCCCTTATTATATTCTGTGCTCTAGCTGTCACTGTGCTAGTGTGGACTTTGGAGAGTCAGAGATTCTTGAATGAGAATAGTAGGCCCACTGCTCCCTTGTGTAAGCCTCCTCCGGGAGGTTCCTCAGGGAGTGTCACAGTAACCCTGGGGCCTTGGTGGCCTTGCCCAGCGCGGCTGCCTTCACGACCCCAGCGTCTGGATTGGAGTCCCGCTCTGTGACTCCTCGGCCCTGGGACTGGGGCATGGGACTTGGATTCTCGGTTCCCTTCTCTGTCATGTGGGTCGGAGTGTCGCTCACGGGTTTGTTGTGGAGAATCCTTTGGCCTGATGTCCACAGTGTGCCAGGCCCGTGGGCTTTGCCGTCTCTCCCCACACTGCGACGTGGTCCCGCTGAGCCCCCGCGTGGAGGCTGTGACCGCCACTAACACGACCCCTGTTTTCTCCTGCAGGCCCCCCGGAGTCTTTGGGATACGCGTCTTTGGGATACAGCGTCGCTGGCAGCCGTTTCTGGTAAGTTCACGCCTGTCCCCACTCCCCACTGTCTCTACTGCAGCCGTGTGACTGGGAGCGTCTCATGGGCAGGGGGTGGGGAGCAGCTGTGGAGCCAGACGTCATTTGGTGACTGTGGTGGGGGCTTGGTGTGGCCTTGTAGGAGTCTGACGCCCAGGGTGGGAATGGCTGGGAGAGGCTGTGGGGTCCCCCAGGGAGGGGACATTTCCTGGTTCCCGGTCGAGAGCGTGATTTTCAGATGATGCCTGAGAGAAGGGGTGATGTCTGGCAGGGCACATGTGGGACGTGGGTGTTCTCCGTCTCTGGGGGGTCTCTCCTCAGAAGGACAGCTGCAGGCTTGGGGACGGCAGGGCCTGTGGAAGGGGTCGTGTGCTGGAGTGGCCAGTGTTGGAGGAAGCCCTGGGGCGGGACCCTCGTGTGCCGCCGTGGCCACTGTGCCCACGGAAGGGAGGTGACCTGGGTTCTAGTCCTGACATTGCCACTTTCACGCGGTCACCCAGGACGTCATTTCATCTCTCTGTGTCTTCATTTTCCCGTCCGTAAGATGGGGGCCTAACAGGACCCGTCGCATTCTGCCGTGCCCGTTAAGTGGGCTAATACGGAACAGCGCCTGGCACAGAGTAGGTGCTCAACAAACTAATAATCAGAGCGAGTGCTTTTCATGTGTCATCTGGTTTTGTGACCCTCACAGCAACGCTCCCAAATGGGTTGTTACCCTCATTTTCTAGATGGGGAGACTGAGGCTCACATGAGTCAGCGGTCCCAAGCCTCAACTTGAAGCAAAGAGCTAGGACTTTAACCCCGTGACCCTCCCAGGGACCCCGACAGTAGACCAGTCACAAGGAGTGAAGAACTGCGCGGGGGCCTCGGGGAGTGTGTGGGTGGGCCGGGGGTTGAAATGGGATGGAGAGCGCTTCCTGAGAAGGTGGTATTAGAGCAGAGACCTTGAGGAGGGGACAGAGGGAGCACGCAGGCCTCTGGAGGGGCCCCCGGCAGAGCGAGCGGCCCGCACAGAGGCCCGAGGCTGTATGGACCGGACTCTTGGTTCGTTAGTGCTGCGTGAGTCCCACGGTGGGGTTTCGGGGACAGGCCTCTCTCCCTTGTTCCTGAGCCTTTGGGGCCCCCAGGAAGACCGGCCTTGGAGGCGGCCTGCTTCCTGGCCGGGCCCTGGGCTGCACAGCAGTGGGTATCGCCTTGGAGGCGGGGAGGCGTGGGTGCCACTGTGTGGCGGTCCCCACAGGTGATCAGCCAGGTTTTCCACCTGATCTGCTTGCAGTCGGAGGGAAGGCGGCCTTGCCCGGGTGTTGTCGCCCCCTCCCTGCCGCTGGCCCTCTGTCCTCCGTCCTCCGTCCGTCTGCGGGCCCGACGGGGAGCCTGCCTCCCAGGCTGAGTTATCTGCTTGTCATACCAGCCGTCCGCCCGAGGACGATAAAAGGGCTTTTGTCTGCGAGCACTTAGCTTCCTCCTCTGGGGCGATCCATCACCTCGAGGGAGGAGGCAGACGGGGGAGGGAGGGTCCCTCCCCCTGCGGAGACAGCCTAGTGTTCCCCTGGCTCCTGGCAGGACCCAAGTGGCTCCTCAGCCCAGAGAGAAGGCCTGTCTGGGGACGGGCAGCTGGCAGGGGCTGGGAGGGGGGTGGGTGCTCTGGAGACAGGAACTGTGTGGAGCCTGCTGGCCTTTCTGAGCCCACCCCCCACACCTGGGGAGGCATGGGGGCGGGGTGGGGGGGCGGCATTTCCGAGGAGCCAGGAGAAGAGGTCGAGGGGCTGATGTGTGAGGCGCACGGGGACCGGGGACCGCGTCCGGGACGATCGTGGGGCAGCAGCAAACACTTCCACACTCCCGCGGCGTCTGACTCGTTCTCGGCACCTGGTGGAATCACGTCCTTTAATCCCCAGAGCCACCCGCTCGCTGCCCGCATTGCACAGATGAGGAAACCGAGGCCCAGGGGAGGCGACGCGCTGGCCCCGAGTGTGCAAGTGGCAGAGGGCGGGCTGGACCCCAGGGGCCCCGGCTCCAGAGTCCCCGGCGCCGGCACAGGTCTTTTGAGCAGGTGACCTTTGCGTCGCCCTGGGAGGGGGAGCTGTGAGAGCAGCGGGTGCAGGCAGGCGCCTCGAACCTCTCCCAGCCTGGTGCCTGGTGGCGAATCCGTGAGGGTGAAGGGTCAGGGGGCAGGGGTCGGATGTGCGTGGAGGCTGTCGGAGAATGGAGGACTGGGAAGGCCAGGCTTTCTGGGCGCCCTGGGGAGGGAATGACCAGTTGCATACGTGGCGGGGGGCGGGGAAGGCCCGGCAGAATCGCACCTCTCTGGGTCTGTTTGTCTCTCCTGGGCAGCGAGTCCGCCGGCTTTGTCCTTAGCTGGGGGCCTGGTCCCTCTCTTGGGTGGAGGAGGAAAGGGCAGGAGGTCTCTTTCCTTCCAGTCTAGGGGGCTCAGCCCTGCGCAGGCCGCCCTCCCCCTCCTCTCCTTCCCTTCCCCCCTTCCAGCTCCCTCCGACTCCCTCCAGCCCCCTCTTCCTCCCTCCCCTCCCCTCTCTCCTCCCCACAGGCCACCCTCAGATGACAGCAATTAATGGTGCCTCTGATGGCGGGCTGGGAGGACGGGCTGACAGTTGAGCGTGTCTGCCTGCGGCTGGCCCTCTAATCGGGCCCGGGGGACCCCCCCGCCCCCAGCTCCCAGGCGCCGCCTGCCCACTCCATCACTCACTGGGCAGCCGGAGCTGCCCGAGGGCGCACAGAGCGCTCAGCACCCCCAGCCCCTGCAGCCCCCCGCCCCGCCTCGTCGTCCTTTATTATTGTCATCTCTTTCTTCTCTAAGTGGAGGGGGCTCCCGGGTGACCCTCGTCCTGCCCCAGCGAGTGTAAACGTGACAGCCAGACCTCCAAGGCGCCCTCCTCCCGGATGTCCTCTCCACTGGCCAGCTCCTGTCCCCAAACGACCTCCCAGGCAGTGCCGTGCCGCCCCCCAGGGCCGCCCCCTCCCCACAGGACACCCGTCCTTTTGTGCCTGTGCTCTTGGGCGGAGCCGAGGCGCCGTGCCCTGTCCTGGACAGCAGGCTTCGATTGAATGCCGGAGACTTAGCAGCCTGGAGCCTTCGGTGATGGGGCAGCTGCCCAGGCCTGGATCTTGTCTGGTGGGGGCTCGCGTGTGTCGGGGTGACAAGGACGCTGAGCCAGTCCTGCCCTCCTGGGCCTGGCGCTTGCTGTTTACCATTTTGCAGCAACAGTAACGAGGCCCGTGCCGCGTGCCAGGGACGGCTGCTGACCTCTCCCTGTTCACTGCACACCAGCTCTCCCAGGAGCCGTGTGTAACCCCGCCTTTGTGCACGGGGAGCCCGACAGGCAGAGGCACACCCTGACCTTCCTTGTCCAGCGCCCATAAATCGGGCTTAGGGAGCTCAAGGGGACGGTGACCGAGCCAGCAGGCCTGGCCTGGAAGTAGGGAAATAGTCCCTGGGCCCTGGGCTGGGATTAATGGTGCTTATTATTCTGTTACAGTTTTAAAAATTCAGCCTCATCGAGATGTCGTCGCCCGTTTTAAAGGTTCAGTTCCACGAGCTGAGACAAATGTAAACATTCGTACAATAAGCACCACAATCGAGATACAGAGGGCTCCCATCATCCCCCAGGGAATCCGCATCCCCCCACCGGAAGCATCTGCTGATGTCGTAGACGTCCTAGAATCTTCTGGATTCCATACTAAAGCTGTAGAATACGTACTCGCTCGTGTCGGGCTTCTCCCTCCCCGCCCGGCTTCGAGGTGCGTCCGTGTCTCGCGTGTATCGGGTCGCGTGTGTTTTCGGCCGCGTGCGTGTATCACAGGCCACGTCTCCGTTCACGGGCTGACGGACACTTGCGTTGCTTCTCGGCTGCTTTTGGCTGTTACGGGTGAAGCTCGAACGTGTTCGTGCCTCTCCGTGCCGTGTCCTGCCGCGTCGCGTTGGCTGAGGCCGCGGGCGGCACTGGGTGGCAGCAGTTGGGTTTTCATGGCTACCTGGTCGTAGGTGTTGTCCCCAGCCTTTCACAGACGAGGAGACTGAGGCTCTGGGCGGTCAGGCGACTTCCCTGCAGTCACTCGGCAGGAGTCGGGGCCCTTTTTCCTCCTCCGCGCCGGGAAGTGCCGGCTCCATTTGCTACACCGATGCGTTTGCCGGTAGAGAGGCTCACGCCTGTGACTGGTGGCGGGTGGGGACAGAGCCACGCTTCCCCCTCCAGGGTCTCCTCTGCTGGAGAGGTGAGGGTGTGAAGGAGGGTCCTTGTCTTTGGGGTCGAGCTCTGTCCATGGGCGCCGAGCCCTGTCGCGTGCACTTCAGGCCTGGGTGACTCTGTCGTCTGCCGGGAGCTGTTTCGGGGCAAGGCAGAGGCATGAAATGTGGACGCCCAGGCATGGGGGTGGTGACAGAGAGGGGGCCTCCTCCCCATCCTCCCTCGCCTGAGGGGTGTTAGCAAAGATGATTTTTCGGGGAAAGAGGCCCACAAATTAAATAAGCAATCCCGTAAATAAATAAGTAATGAAGTTAGTGGGGTGCCTAATTACATCAAATTCGTAATTATGGATGGATGCCTGCCCGATAATTGTACTTGTTTTTAATCTCCAGCTCTGACATGTGCCTCCTTCCATCTGAGGGTGATCCCTGCCCCCCAGCTGGAGGGAGGAGGGAGGCGCTGCCTTTCTGGGGGGGTGGGGGCGGGGTTCCCAGCGAGTCCCAGGGGTCCCGGTGGGCTTGTCTTTCTCCTGCATTCGGGGTTGTAAATCTACGTAGGTTTTGAAATTGGCGCAGACGACAGCGATAATGATAATGGTTTATCATGACGATCGTGTTTCTCTCTACATGTTATAGTTTATTTAATCTTCCCAAACCCCCTGCGAAGCAGGGATTATCATCATCCTCACTTTACAGGTGAGGAAACTGTGGAACAGAGAGGCTAAGTGACTTGCCCGAGGTCGCACAGCCAGTGAGATCCTAATCCCAGAGCCCGCCTCCCTCTCTCTGCTGCCTCTGC